TATTGAGCTTTTAAAAAATTATTTTTAATATATATATTTTATTGATTTTAGAGAGGAAGAGAAGAGGGTGAGAGATAATAATATCAATGATAAGAGAATCATTGATCAGCTGCTTCCTGCACAACCCCCAATGGGATCTAGCTGGCAACTCCAGCATGTACCCTGACTGGGAATTAAACCCTGGCTCATAGGTCAATGCTCATCCACTGAGCCACACTGAGCAGGCTGATTAGTGAGGTTTTATAACATGAAAAAGAATACAGAAAATAAAAAAAATGGATGCACAAGATTTATTAATTCATTTAAAGCAATTTATATAGGTATCTATTGGATGCCAGGTAGTGTGGCTACTAAGATGAGTAAAAATAGACCTAGCCATTACCACCTAATGGGAGTCAGACATTAAGCAAATAAACACAAAACCATATAAATTCTTAACGGAGATCAATGTGATCTCAGTGTATGTAACAGTGACATAAAGCCTACTGTAGCAAGGATTATGTACTTGGAAGTATGATATAATGAGGATTTTTTGGGGTATATACTGAGTTTGGAATTTATCATTAATGAAAGGCTAATAGATACTTAAAATTATCATAGTAGTCTCTCATCTCTTCCTTCTGATCACTGATCGTTTGGTTATATTACATTCACTATAAGTCATAATCTCATTGCCTACATAATTAAAAGCCCTGCTTTATTCTTTTAATTCCTATTCCTACTAAAAACTTTTTGGTGAAAATTGTAATGATTCTGGCATAAGGGTAAACACAAATGCAAACAGGATTTTCCCTCTTTGTAGGTACCCTGCATAATCAATGTGTTTTATCTACTCTGTGTACATTCTATTGTTCACTGTAAAACAGGCTTTTCTCAGGAATACCTGAGTGAGTTTTCTGAAATTGACAAAGCAAGACTTCTGCTAAAACGAAAATTAAATAAAAATAAGTGAATAGATGCAAAAATGAAAGAAACGTTATTTTAAAAAGTTTAAATGGTTATTATGATTGTGTTATTGAAGATATTGTCAGGCAAGTTCCTTCTTTTCTAATGTATTTAGGGGCCATACCACCCTGAATGCGCCGCCCGATCTCGTCTAATGTATTTAGGTCCTATCTGAGCATTTCCATTAAAATTTAGTACCAAGATAAATATCTGATTAAGGAGTTTTTGTTGTTTCTCAATTTTAAATTGAGAAATTTAAATTGAGACTTCCATTCTGACTTCAGAGAAGTTAAGGAATAATTTTTATGATAAAACACAATTAGTTATATTTGCTTCCTTGAATTAGAGATCCCAATTTCCTTTAAACTTATTGATTATATTGTATCCATGTCCCATTCAGTTGGCTACTTCAAGTAGAGAACTTCCAAGTTAACAAGTTATTATAATTAACCAGAGATTTACCATTTCTTAGTAGCTAGCTACTTGAGCCTCTATGTACTCTGATCTGGCACTGTGCGGCTAAGCAAAGATGATAGCCTTGCGTTGTCTTTATTTAGTGGACCAGAGCATGAACAAGCTTTATGGGAGTGAAATTCATTATGAAGAACAATGAGCATTCCAATCTCATTCGTGCAGTTCATATTTTCTATTAAAACACAAGTGTCTTCTGGGAAGAATCAGCAAAGCGAACTCGCATTCTTAAAAATGTGAGAGTCAAGCTAAAAATGTGCAGGTAAATCTGTATCTCAAGACAGGAAATAAACCATAATTTTGCTTTTATGGTGGTAAGTGTTGTGAAATAAGTGTTCATAAAAGTCTAGACTAACATGGAGGGATTTCGAAAACCAAATGGTTGAGCTGCTTTTAGTAAATCCCATTTAAAGGGATAAAACTGCTGAAAGCATAAACAAAAATCTGTAAAAGATTAGGATTTATATGGGACTGTGGGATTTAATTAGATCCAAACACATGAAAGCTGTGTTATTCAATATGGTAGCTAATACTCAACTATATTTAATTGCTGTTCAGACTTTCTCTGAGACTATAATCTTCTTTTGATTTAGAAGCATTGTCTTATATCTCTCTTGCCCATACACTACACTCTCTGCCTCTGCTGTCTCCCTGTCGAGCTGCCAGTGAAGTACAAAGCATAGAATCAAAATCTCAGGAAGGGAAATACCCTAAGGTTTACATCATCTGGTCTCATACAATCTATTAAAAACTATCAAATTCTGGAATCAATTACTCCCCCCTTAGGCAAATGTGAACTTCTTTTGCAAAATTAGAATCAGATTGGTAGTGTATCAACAGTGTTCCTCATTTTACCCTCCAGAGTCATCAAGTGACATGTCTAATCTTTCTTCTGGCCAACATTTCTTTAAATAGCTAATAAAAATGTCATAAAAACTAGGCAAAATATCATTAATTTTTAGTCCTAGATGGGGAGACATTCTCAAACACTGCCCTTATCCATGACCAATTATCACCTTAAAGGTAGTAATAGTAACTACAACGTATTAAGTTAATCAACAATCACAAGATGGTAGACTGAGAGTTTTACTTAATTATTTCTAATGCATATATGTAACCAACAAGATTAGTCCATATGTGCAGCCAGCAAGGTAGTTACTGTTATTTTGAAGTTTGGTAGTTGACAAGGGAACTGTGATCTTTGTTAAAGGGCCCAACCTGATACGGATTCAGATCTGACTATAAATCCTGTGTTCTTTTACTGTTTGACACTCCATTATATAAATTACAAGCACATGCCTTATTATAAACTGTAACAATTTATTCTGGATAAATTGTATTCCCCCACCCCTTCCAAACTCTTATGTCCTTTTAAAACAGTTATCTTTGGATTGTGGAAATAGCTAATATTATCCTCACTTGAAAAGTGTCATTTTTAGGAAAAGTTCATTTTTACATTACTATTACTTAAATTTATTCTTCAATTACAGTTGACATACCATATTATATTAGTTTTATTTTATTTTATTTTATTTTTTAAATATATTTTTATTGATTTTGTACAGAGAGGAAGGGAGAGAGATAGAGAGTTAGAAACATTGATGAGAGAGAGTCATCGATCAGCTGCCTCTTGCACACTCCCCACTGGGGATATGCCCGCAACCAAGGTACGTGCCCTTGACCGGAATTGAACCCGGGACCCTTCAGTCCCCAAGCCGACGCTCTATCCATTGAGCCAAACCGGTCTCGGCCATATTATATTAGTTTTAGATGTACAACATAGTGATTTGACATTTATATACCTTAGGAAATGATTATCCTGATAAGTCTAATAAGTCTAATAACCCTCTGACAACATACATAGTTATTACTGTGAGGCCCAGTACACGAAATTCGTGCATGAGGGGGTGTCCCTTAGCCTTGCCTTCACACTCTCCAATCTGGAACCCCTAAGGGGATGTATGACTGCTTGCATTAAAAGCTGGCAGTCGGACATCCCTCTCACAATCCAAGACTGCTGGCTCCCAACAGCTTGCTTGCCTTCCAGCCTTATCACCCCCTAACTACTCCTCTGCCAGCTTAATCAATGCCTAACTGCTCCCTTCTGGCCCGATTGCCCCAACTGCCCTCCTCTGCTGGCTTGATTGCTCCCAATTTCCTTCCCCTGCAGGCCTGGTTGCCCCTAACTGCCCTCCCCTGGTGACCTGTTCTAAGCCCACCCATGACTCCCATCACACTTAAGATCCACACTCCTCACCATGGTTGACAAGGTTCACTATATAGTCTGGCCCATAACCACTTCTCCCATCACATCTTCACTCTTTTCCCTTTCCTCCCTGGCCACACTGGCCATTCTGCTGGTCCTAGAACAGGTGGCCATTCTTACCTCAAGGCCTGCATTTGCCACATCGTCCGTCCTCCAGGAATACTCTTCCTCCAGCCCCTCACAGTACCCATCACTCACATTTCCACTAAAAATTCACCTCTTCCAACAAGCCTTCATTGACAACCTTGTATAATTCAGCACCCCCTTATCACTCTATCCTCTTATTCTAGTTTACTTTTCTTTATATCAATTATCATTACTTGAAATTATATTATTAACTTGTCTCTTCCTTTTGTGGATGCTTTGAGGGGGGACCTTGAGTCATCTGTCACCAAAATATCCCAAGTGACAAGCACAGGTGCTTAATAAATACTTGTTGAGTTAGTCAAGGGATAAAAACAGCATTTCTCAGTCCTGCCTTTGCACGCCTGCACGCACACGCACTTTACAGGGCAGTACTCATAGTTTCAGCCTGAGACTCGCCCCAATTTGCACAGGTGTTATTGTAGGGGCCCATAAAAGCTGCACCTAAGGGTTCTTTTCTGTGGCAGAAGGTCTTACAGGACCAGGTACTCCACATGGGAATGTATTTCAAGGAAACAGGGAGGTTTGGAGCCTCACAATGGACAACTGGATTTCAAGTCAAACCATGGCTTTTACAGAAACTTAGTTTATTGATCAATAAGGGACTCTACTGAGGACAAATAAGCTGGGAATAAAAAAGCAGATGAGCCATGGGGGATAAGGGTGGCTGCTAGACACTTTCCAGGGAGCCGGACTTCCTGTCTCCCTATTCAGCTCCTGAGACCCCAGGCCGAGTGCTCCCTGGGGTACCACACACAGCTTCTTTCAGTTTTAAGAAGCCTCTGTTTGTGTTGGTGGTCGCCGGCAATGACTCCGGGCAGAAACCCATCTGGTAGACAGGGTGGGGCCTTGCTAAGGCCACTCTGCATCCTCTCTGCTCCTGGATCCTCCTGGGCTCACAGAGTGTAGACGTTTCTTCTGCCCAAGAAGGTACTCTAGAGGGTTGAGCAGAGGACCATCAGGTTTTCTGCCAGACCAGCTTTAGCCCTGGGATGTTCAGAGCAGACTCCCATTGGAAACCTCCGTTTCTGAGGCTTCTTGTCCATGTTTGTTTAGAAGGAGGCTCCTGGCTGAGGAAGGCACAGACAGAATGGCTCAGGTTGTAATCGCCAGTGGAGGTCACTGAAGGAAGAGGCATTAGGCCACGAAATGCTTGTCATCTCTGCAGAGTGCCTCAGCCAGCAAGCTTCAGTGGGCTCAGCCTACCGCCACCATAGTCCAGTCGTTGAATTTTGGGGCTGGAGCAACCAAGGTTTTCGTTCAACTTTTCCACAGGGTGATGTCGCTTAAGTGCTGGTCTGGGGTCTGGCTTTTCTACCTCCATCTTTTCTGGGGTGAGCTTCTGAGGGGTTAGCCTCTTGCTGTCATGCTCCAGTCTTGGAATTTTGGGGCTGGAGCAGCCGAGGTCTTTGTTTGACCATTCCACAGGATAATGTCTCTTACGTGCTCCTCTGGGGCCTGGCATCCCTGCCTTCACCTTTGCTCCGGTGGGCAAAGGGGCATCCCCAAAGGACCGGCAGCCACTGACCAGGCAGTATGTCTCCCCGTGCCAGCCCACTCGGGGTTCTCCCTGCTTTCGGTAGGGGACATGGTAGTGACCAGGTGTAGGAGGAAAGGGAGAAGTCACTGTTGCTGGAAAGAAAATCAGAACTGATCAGTCACTTATGCTATACTTTGTCCTATCCCTCCCCTCATGTCTCTCCCAGGTTCTTGTGGAAGCCTCCTCATTTGATTAAATCCAAAACATAGTCTAACCCATCACTGCTATGGGACCCTACAGAAGGGGTGTTGCTGCAAAAGCAATTCTGTGGGTTCTAGGAAAGCAGCAGCAGGTCAGAAAATCTTCCCCATTCCCAGAGAAAACAGATTCTAAAGGTAATTGCATTCAGCATCCCTTCCATCTTTCCCACAACATATAAACGATTTCTTACAGCCCGTCACTTCCGAGGCTTTAAGGAAGTGCCTTCCAAGTGTGGGAATAAAATAATTTAATATAAACTGGTTTAGAACCCCTCCCACCTTGGCAACTCCTCTCAGGCTCGATTCATACTGCTTTTTCAGCCACCCTGAACTCCAGCCCTCTGGCACTTTTATCTAGATCAGAAAAAGGCCAGATACTGAGGCAGAGTGACCAGGAGGCTGAGAGCTAGAATCTGGTTACCAAGTCCAGGCTCATATCAACCCAACCTTCTGGGATAACATTTCCTCTAGCCCTCCTTTCTTCATCACTCCCCTTTGCTCTTTTGTTCTCCCTGTGGGATGGGCCCACCCTTTCTCTTAGTACTCAGCAGCTCAGCGTGGGTGTGTCTGAGGGACCCTTGTGGATGTCTACATGACAGCACATGAAGTGACTTAAGTTTGAAAGAGAGGTTTATGAGCACAGCTCAACAGTTCTTCCTCAAATTTCTCCATTGATCGTTTGGACACAAAAACACACCTGACTTTTGCTAAGAAGCCAACCAGTAAAGAGGCTGAGTGGAAGTATCTACTGTAGTAGCCCAACGTGAAAAGTTATAAGAAAGATGAGAACCTTTCTGAACATTTGCCCAGTGAGTGGGAACTCTGTGGGTGTCTGAGGGGGGGGGGGGGGGGGGGACCCAGGCTACTGGTATTATTATACATAAAGCTAGGGCAGTTCCCAGATATGATAGACAAGCCCCAAAGGATCATGTGACAGCCAGATGAGGTTGTGTGTACACCAGACCTCCTAGATGCCCAGGCTGGGCCTACCTGCTGTGCTGCATTCCAAGGGGACGGAGGACAAGTCACACTGAATGTACAAGATCAGGTCAATCATCTCTTTCTCAGGCACCCAAACAGCTTGGTGTCTGGTAGAGAACTGGTAGGGAAGGTTCCCCTGGAACACCAAGTTTCTGCAGTTATCCTGTCATGGAAACCGTGATGTCATCACTACTCCGTGAGGTCACGTACGGAACCTGTTGCTTAGGCTCATGAGGTTTTGAGGAGAGCGGGCTGTGCCCTGCCTCTGCCTCACACCTGGCTCTCCCCACTCATGCCCTGTTCACTCCTTGAGCATACTTGTGGACTGGCACAACCTTGGACCTTAGGAAGGCAAGAGAAACTTCATTCTGAGATTAGCATGGGAAGCAAGATTAACCTAGGACAGCCAGGTTTATGGCACCGACCCTAAGTATCCAACAGTTAAGAGAGGCAGAGATTTGAGTGGACTGGGGACTAAAGGAAGGCTCCTTGGTGGTGGGCCTGAAGGTCAAGTGAGATGTGGCCCCGGGGAGGGGAGAAGGGACACATTTCAGTTGGGAAGAGTAAAAGCAAATGTCAGTTCATAGAGCCCTCATGTTTTTAGAACTGAGGACTCAAAAACCAAGAGGTTAAGGGACTTGGCCAAGGTTACACAGATGCTGCAGAGGTTTTCTGAATGAGCACGGCTTCATGTTGGGGCTGTAGATTTACAGCTGATAGAAATGTAAGGACAAGCTCATCAACGTTTCAGAGTGACACTGGGAGAGATGTTCAAGGTACTCCAAGGCAAAGTGAGGGTTCATGTGGGAATAATGGGCCCATTTTAATACAAAATTAAAAACAAATTTATGACAAATTGACATAATATGAAATGACAACCCAATGAAGACACTTCTCTCCCCTCCAAAAGGAAAATAATGGCAATGCCACCACCACGAAAGGACAAGATTTGGGCGCAGAAGCAGCCCAGGTGAAAAACATGGTCAACACTATGAAGAGGTGTTATTGAAAGCTGCTTTTTTTTTTTTTTCTACTCAGAGGAGCAAATAGGTGATTCTGTACTTAGCATGGTCAGGCCCCTAGAAAGAAATCTTACAGGGCTGGAGGAGGTTAATGGAAGATAAAAGGGGACCTGTGTAATACTTATAACAATAAAGAGAGAGAGAAAAAAAGAAATCCTATTTGGGACATCCTTTGATAGCGTGGCCAAGGACTTCCCAGGATGTAAGATAATCTTCCTTGGGATGGGGATCCCTGTTGCTGACCTTTAGTAAGCAAAGATGGGACATCTGTTTGCTTGGGCTGTTGCAGAGGGGATGATGTATCCATAATGTAAACTGTCTAGGTTACCATTTTATATAATTTTTAAAATATAGTGTTTTTTAATTTTTATTTTTTATTTTCAGGGAGAGGAAGGGAAAGGGAGAGAGAAAAATAGAAACATTGATGAGAGAGGAACAACAATTAGCTGCCTCCTGATAGGGAATAGAACCATTACCTGGTTTGTAAGTCGGTGCTCAATCCCTGAGCCATGCTGGCTGGGCTTTATAAACTATGTATCTTCAGTTTCTCTTCTTTTTAAAAGTCATGTGACAAAAAGATTATGCAAGCATTTCCTAAACGCAGTAGTCCTAGTTGTATATCTTTTTAATTGTATACCTTGACATATTTTCTTCTACTGTGGCAAATTAGCCGGTGATGTAAGGCATGGTAGTTTATGTGTGGCCTCACAGTGAATGACCTTGGTAGACTCTAACCCTTCTGCTATGGTTTGGGGAGGATATGTTTCTGCTCTGTTTTTCCAAGGGTTTGGCTGCTGTGTCCCAGGTGCAGGCCTCAGCCATAAGTGCTACTTCCTTCCACTGGGCCCATTAGTGATTGAATAGCTGCTCTAAGCATCACAAAAAGTAGATAAACATGTGTTGCCTACCTTCCAGATATCGCAAGGCTTTAGCCACTTGGGACCACATATAAACAGCCTCCCCAGATTGAGGAGAGATAAACGATATCTTACTCTAGAGTCTAGGGCTAGGTCCCTTGGAGAAGGAAGCCATGCCTTGATTTACTTCCTTAGAAATTCCAGCAGGACTTCCGATTTCTCCTTGGTGGCCCACCGGCTGCATGCTTGCCTGGGTCTCTCACCTTCCCCGGGAGAGGGTATTGGGAATGGGAGTAGGACAGTGATATGTGATCGGCATACCATGATCCCAGTATCCCACAGAAATAACGTCAGTATTTAGACACATTTTTGTAAGATAAATCTTTGTGGTGATCTTTTTTTCTTTATCTCTCTTTAACACACTTTGGAATGAAATGCAACCAAATTTTAAATATTTGCCTCTTGCAGTGTGGTATAATATGAACAGAAAAAAGTGATCATTTCTTCTGTAAGGAATTTTAGAATTTCAGTTTTTAAAATAAGCTAAATTATCTTTTGCTCTCCTGCTACATGTCTGACAATAATCATATGGGTATTTTTTCTGCTCTTCTGGGTGCAGATTGCCCTTTATGTCACATCTCTCCATCTGAGGCTCCCCATGTGTTCTGTCACTCTCTTGCAGAAATGCTTCTCTTTTTTCCCTAAGTTTTGTTGCTATGGTCTCGACTGTCATTTCCTCAGCACCATCTGTAGACTGATATTTTGTGGAAATTTGTATGGGTTCCAAGTAAGAATTCAGCTCAACAGGCCAGCATATTTAGTTTTTAGGAGAAAAGAAAGTAATTGATTAATTCCTATTCTAGTCCATTCTCTTTTTTTCCTCCTCTTCATCCCATTCTACCCCCACATGAAGATATTCTTATAACTTTGAAATGGAATCAGATTTCCAGGATTATAATTAAATTTCAGTAAAAAATTCCACTTACCAGAATGCTCACCATACTAATATTGTTGTTAGAAATAAGACACTTGATTAAAAGGGAGCACCCTCGTCTATATCCTTAATGTGCATTCCTAATGAGTCTTAGCAGGAGGCTGATTCACATGAAAATGCACAATTAGCTCATCCAACTTTAATATACCATTATCTGCACCCAGGCCCTCTGTTCATTACCATTTGAATGCACTGTTTTCTGTGGAGTTTTGTGCAGGAAACAAATCCCTATATATGGCACACAGCCTTTAGAATCTGATTTGTCTGCCTTTGCCCTTTAGACAAAAGGCCAAAACAACATATACCCATGGTGCATTAATTTTCAATCTCTGTTTTTGAAATTGTAGTGCAGCACATTTCTTTTCTAAGGGAATTAGTCAGAGACAATGTAGAGGTGGATAAAGCCAAGGGATTTGTTATTTTGAATGATGCCATACCACCTTTCCTAGGTGTACTGTCCAGATAAAAAGATTTGCTTTAAAGTGCTGATGATCATATTATACCACACTGAAGTAAAATATTACTTGAAAACTGACTTCACTACTATATTTAGTCTACTTAACCGTTAGTGTCTGGAGTCAGACAATGGGTTGCCTAAAATAGAAATAGAGAAGCCCTAGCTGGTTTGGCTCAGTACATAGAGCGTCTGCCTTTGGAGCAAAGAGTCCCGGGTTCGATTTAGGTCAAGGGCACACACCACAGTTGCAGGCTCCTCCCCTTGACCCAGGTCTTGGTCAGGGTGTGTGCAGGAGGCAACCAATCCATGTGTTTTAATTCCTATCAAGGTATCATTTGGCTTTTCATAAATTTTCAGTGTTTGTGGCATGCCTTGCTCCCACACTTCTCCATGTTTTTCTGATACTTAGAATTCTATCTAGTTTTAAACAACTAAAATCAATAACGAATTAAAAAGTCAATGGTAAAGTAATAATCTTTTTATAAATGGTGCTGGATAATTGATACCCATATACATAAGAATGAATTTGGATCCCTACTTCACATCATATACAAAATTATCTCAGAATGGGTCGTAAATCTTCTGTAGAATAAACTTAACCAAAGAGGTAAAGTAATTGTACATTGAAAGTATAAAACACTGATGAACAAAATTAAAGTTGATATAAATAAACTGAAACATGTTTCATATTCATGGATCAGATTAGTATTGTTAAAATGGCCACACTCCTTATATGTACAATTCCTATCAAAGTCCCAATGGCATTTTTACAGAAATAGAACACCAATTCCTAAAATTCATATATATATCCACAAAGGATCCAGAATAGCCTACACAATCTTGAAAGAGAAGGGCAAAGCTGAAGGCATCATACATACTTCCTTATTGCAAAACTACAGTAATTTAATATAGTGTGGTACTGGGACATAAAAAAGACATTTAGAACAATGGAACAGAATAGAGAGCCCCAAAATAAACCCACACATATCCAGCCAACTGATCTTCCACAGAAGTGTCAAGATTACACAGTGGGGAAAGGATAGTTTCTTCAATAAATGGTTTTGGGGAAATTGGATACAAATGTAGAATGGAATTGGACCTTTATCTTATACCATACACAACAATCAACTCAAAAAATTATTAAATATTTAAACAAAAGATGTGAAACTCTAAAAATCCTAGAAGAAAACATAGGGGAAAAACTTTATGACATTGGTCTTGGCAATCATTTCTTGGGTATAACGTCTAAAGTACATGTAAAAAACAGAAACAAAAACAAAACCCCCCACAAAAACAGCCACATGAGACTAAATCAAATGAAGAAGCTTCTGCACAGAAAAGGAAACAATAAAAATAGAGAAAAGGCAACCTTCAGAATGATAGACATTATTTGTGAACCACTTATGTGATAAGTGATTAATCTCTAAAAATGTATAAGAAACATCTAGAACTTAATAGCAAAAAATAAACACATAACACATTTAAAAAAATAGACTAAGGACTTGAATGAACATTTCTCCAAAGAAGACATACAAATGGCCAACAGGTATATGAAAATATATTCAACATTTCTAATTATCATGGAAATGCAAGTCAAAACCACAATAAGATGTCATCTCAACCTGTTACTTAGGATGACATTTAAAAAAGATTACCTTGCTGAAACTGGTTTGGCGCAGTGGATAGAGCCTCGGCCTGCAGACTGAAGGGTCCCAGATTCGATTCTGGTCAAGGGCTTGTACCTTG